AGGGAACAAAAAAAGGAACGTTGGAATGAGATTGAGTGCATGTGATGAGGAGTAGAATAAAAAAGGACAGGAAACTCTCATGTGGGTTAAGATGATAGTGATGGGTTCGAGTCACTCATGATCATTCGATATTATTTTTGTGACATTCGAATAAATGAAGGATTGTTCAATCAATTTAAACTATATCTTGATTTTCTGTATTTGCCTCTTTGTAATAATATACACAAATTTGTAGGTTTCCTAAGGAATCTTATTTACACAAGAAATTAAGAGAGGAGAAGAGATGACGAGCTATCGCTGAAAGCAGAAGAAAAAGGCAACAGTCTTTTAGAGTGGTGGAGGGAGTAGTGGCAATGTTCTCTTTTCGTATGACAAGGCTGAATCAGTATCATCGTGGCTATTGCGCGCGAGACACTATTTCTCTTATTCTCTCATTCTCGCTCTTTTATTGCAATTGTACATATGTGTTACGCGCGTGCCATTGTTCATACGTACTTGCTGATCATTTTTTACGTTATCTTCAATATCAGTATGCTGATTGCAAAGCTTTGAGGAAACAATACGTGATCGCCCCCCACTTTTATTGGATCCTTTTTGTTTAAACAATCAAAGAAAGAAGAATCCAAAGACTATAATGGTATGTGAGAAACATATGTAAAACGTTGTTTTATCAGTTAGAACGTTTATATGTAAGTGTTATAAGAAGTGCTAGTTTCTTTGCTCGTTTTTATTCCCTTTTATTTTATAAATCTTAAGGAGCTTATCTTATAATTTCAATTTTATACATCTTCTTTAATAATCTTCCTATGTGTGATTAGTTATGCTGTCTCTGTTTCTCCTTGGTGAGATGATCAAATTATCATCTTCTAGCTAAAGTTGGCATATTGTTTGACTAAGTTATATCATTATTGTATTATTTTCTGCGTCAAGTTCTCGAGCATTGCGCGACCATGAAAAAGTAAATTAATAGTAAGTCGGCCTGTTATTCATGTGATTAACATGTGACCCGCCTACATAAATTCATTATAATTTTTTTAATTTTTTCTTTGATGGTTCTTCTCTTCTTCAAATTTTTAAAAATATATAATTAGATTATGTAAGTTCTTTATTAAATGGGACAATTTTTAATATATATCGTAATTAGTACTAAAATTTTACGATAATTGAATGTACCATATACAGTTTCAATTTCAAGGCTTTATAGACATGCAAAGGCAGGGAGTCCATGAAAATTTAATTCTCTATTCGATCTGTGGGTCGCGTTCAATCACTTGACTTTGTTCTTTCTTCGTATTTTGCATGTGACAACGTTTATGGTGGCTTGGTTGGAAGTGCAAACATATAATTCTTGGCAGAATTATTAAATAAACGAGATCGTGATCCCTTTTTACAATGGTGTTGTTAAGTTCAGTCGTGCCTTTGAACTTCGAACTGTGCAATTCTACGACTATTATAATGTTAAGTGCATATAAATTTATCCTTAATCATATTATTAACCGGTTGTGTTTATATCTCATCCGATGTGTTTTATATTAGCGCCACTGGCGTTATTACAAATATTCGTATCTATAATTTACGTAATAAGTGCAAGCAATAAATGCAACCTTTTATATCATGTGATGATAAATTGTATCGTTGATAACCCGTGGTTCATAAACACTATTTAAAAGTCTTCTTGGCTCCATTCAGCGATAATGCTATTATATTATTTGTTTGTCAATGTTCGATACAAGAAATCAGACTTATTGTGAAATTTATAATAATGTATAGTTGTGAAGAAATGCTGAATTTTTGTCCTTGAAATATTAATATTGATAGTCAACGTCATTCGTAGGACACTTCAACTCTATCATTATTTAATTTTAAGAGAATTTTTTATCTCAAAATAAATAGTTTTTTTTTTTTTTTTTTCAAAAAGTTATTAATCTTACTTGTAATTTTTAGGGTTCTGGATATTTAAAGCGTGCAAATACTGAACGCCTCCATGAAATATTTAATCAGGTAAATAAATCAGTTTGAGTTAATTTTTATAATACAATAAGATTTTAATTAATTTTTTAAAGATTTATCAAGTTAAATGATTTTATCAAGAAGATAACAATATATTAAGATATGTATTAGATAACAATATATTAAGATAAAATTGCCCGATCGATAGATTTAGAAATAAATTTACTTATAAACTTTTTTTTTTTAAAAAACTTACAGTACGCTTCACAAGAGAAAAATGGCGAAAGGTTTATGACCTCGTCTGACTTTGTCCGAACTTATCTTGGACTCTACACCAACCCTGATTACAATCCTGACTCCGTCAATTTGCTGGCTGGTATCGTCGATACCAGTAAAGATGGGTTTGTTTCCAATTGTATTTTTTCTTCTTTTAATGTCCATGAAAAATAACTAATAATAGGTGAATATTTTTCCAGACTCATATCATTCGCCGAGTTTCAAGCGTTCGAAGGATTGCTTTGTGTACCAGATGCTTTGTATAAGACAGCTTTCCAACTGTTCGATACTAATGGAAATGGAATGGTTGCATTTGGTGTGTAGAGATTTTATTCTTAAAAGCGATTAACAATGAATTTCCATCTCGTATTATTCACTTTTCAGATGAGTTCGCTGAGGTGATGCGGAAAACGGAACTCCATCGGCGGATGCCCTTCAATATGGATAGCAGTTTCATTAAACTTTATTTTGGAAAGGATAAACAGCGACTGATAAGCTATGCGGAGTTCAGTCAATTTTTGCACGTAAGTTTTTCAATATAATAGAAATTTCTTATTTCTAGAACGTTAGGATATCTCGTTTATTTAGGATTTCCATGAAGAATACGCGACAGAAGCATTCAAGAAATTCGACAAGGATGGGCAAGGTTTCATTTCGGCATTAGATTTTCAAGATATCATGCTCAGCATTAAGAGTCATTTATTAACTAAGGATGTAAGAGACAACTTGGTCGCTGTAAGTAATCAATTTAGAACGATAAATTCCTTTATCGATACTGATGGGAGTGACTAATTGCTTTATGGTAATTATAGGCAGCTAGCACCGGACAAGGTGGACGTAGCAAAGTCAGCTTTCCATATTTTATGGCGTTCAATTCCCTCTTGAATAATATGGAGCTCATTAAACGTATTTATCTCAACGCGACGAATGGCCACAGATTCGAAGAGGTTACCAAAGGTATTTGAATTTTACCATACATTGAAAAAGGAAGGGATTTTTTTTTTTAGTAAAATGATAACACGATTAATTGCTTCAGAGAGGTTCCTTCATTCCGCACAAATGATGTCGCAGATTACGCCATTGGAGGTAGATATTCTGTTCCAGCTATGCGATCTGCTACATCAAACTGGGTGAGTATCTCCAATCCTGAGAGCGAGCCATTCTCCTTGGCATCGATCGTTCAGAAAAAGGTCACGTGGAATGAACAAAAATATGTTATAATTTTCCACGCTGACCTGGTCAACGAAAAGCAGTTATGAATCATTATACAATTGATATGCTATCGTTGCACCAGCAAGCAAACATCGTCATCATCCAAAATATGTCGAATGTCTCTTGGCAAAGGAAGGATGAAAATTAAATCTGTTAAGTAAATCACTTTTAAAAATCGCCTTCTATGCCTAATAAGAAATTACAGTTTCCCATATAATAATTTTCGATCTTTTGCAAACGCCAATTAAAGTTTTCATGATTGAATACATTTGTTTACGTGTTTACGCTGCCTGGATCAGATCTACGGAAGATGACGAGGCAGATTCGCGGCTTGGGTGCGTCTTTGTATTACAAGAATAATCACGTGCTATAAATCCGTTTTAAAGCATAAACGTTGGCCTCGTGCGAAAATAATGGGAATTCTTTTCAAAAAACACGGAAACAATGAATTTGGAAAAAAATTAATTTCAAAAGTATATTTTTTTCGTTTTAACTTAAATATATATATATATACATATTTATGTAAGTTATAAATATTCTTATCTGAATTCCACGTTTGCTGTTTTTTGCATAAAGATAATTCCTATTTTTTTTGCTAATGTATTTGTATGTACATAAATCGATAATATACACATTGTCTTCACCTACTTTCTTTAGCATTTATCTTAGGACGATGGTATTTGTAAACGTTTGCACATTGTGGGCACTAATGATATTCCATTTTATCCGATGCTATTGACAAACTTAAGGATAATGTTTAAGGAACTCTTTTATATTGACAGGATCTACTTTTATTATTGCTCGAAGCAGTGCCATCGACGTTGTTATTATTATTATAATATTCATCCTAGAAATACCTTATTCATTTATTTCTTTTTTCAAATTTCTTTCTTCCTTTTCTATCCAATTTGTTTTTTTCTTAATCTGCTTTATCTTTGCTACGTGGCTACGGATCTACATATTGAGCACACATTTTCTCGGATTTCAGGAAAATAATGTACAGCGATCTTGTGGCTCTTACTCCTGAGCAATATTTCAAGCAAATCACGAAACGCTTAGCAGAGATCAAAGCGGTATCGGTAAGTGTGGCCACACAAGAAGATCACTCAAGCCAATCAGCTGATACCAGAATTACCAGATGGAAACATCAATTTACATCAATCAAATTATGTCAATTTTGTTGTTCAATGGTCAGTATTTTTGTTTCAGAGTCCTGATGAGCGTGGAGTGATCGTACAGATACTCGAAAGCGGTTATCGGTTCGTTCTAGGGTCCATAGGTGGAGGTAAGTTCAATGATCCTTGTTATCTATTTTCTTTTTTATACAGCCATGAAGGATTTTGGAATTCCAAGCTCATTAATTCTTCTAATTTAATAAATAAAAATGATTAGGAAAATTGTTTTTTAATTTCTTCAACTATTCAATGAAGAATGGAGTTATACAATAGTTGGAAATAAGAAAAACTAGATGCAGAATGTTTTCTTTAGCTGTTGGCGCTACAGCCGTATATCCTATTGATTTGGTGAAAACAAGAATGCAGAATCAGAGGACTGGATCGTTGGTTGGGGAGCTAATGTATAGAAACAGCTTTGACTGCTTCCAAAAGGTTGGAATCGAAAAGTCTCGCTACGATACATTGCCTGCATTTTTAATTATGAAGTTGGTGTCCTGCGTTTGACAGGTGATCCGGCACGAAGGTTTTTTTGGCCTTTACCGAGGTTTGTTACCTCAACTGATGGGTGTAGCACCAGAAAAGGCCATTAAGCTGACCGTTAACGATTTTGTCAGAGATAAGTTCATGGATAAAAAAGGAAACGTGCCCCTTTACGGAGAAATTATATCTGGTGCTTGTGTAAGTGATCCGTAAGAATATCCTTTGACATTTCATTACAGATGATCGATCTTTATTTTAAATATATAGTAAAATTTCGTTTATTTTTCAGGCTGGAGGTTCTCAAGTTATATTTACGAATCCTTTAGAAATTGTGAAAATTCGATTGCAAGTGGCTGGAGAAATAGCAGGCGGATCTAAAGTTAGAGCTTGGACTGTCGTAAAAGACTTAGGCTTGTTTGGCTTGTACAAAGTGGGTACACGATTAATCTATCAATCAAACAAGAAACGTGACATGTAATGCAATGAAAAAATTGGATTTTTTTTATATTTTAGGGTGCTAGAGCATGTTTCTTGAGGGATATTCCTTTCAGTGCAATTTATTTTCCAGTATATGCTCATACAAAGGCACGATTAGCGGATGAAGGAGGTTATAATAATCCTCTGTCGTTATTAGTATCTGGTGCGATTGCTGGTATTCCTGCAGCAGCGCTGGTCACTCCTGCAGACGTAATAAAAACTAGATTACAAGTATGATTTTTCTATACTAAATTTTTTTATTCATTCATTATTCTTTAAGAAGAAGAAGAAAAAAAATTAACTTTACATTAACACATTAATTTAATTTTAGGTTATAGCGAGACGAGGTCAAACGACATATACTGGGTTACTAGACTGTGCAAAGAAAATTTACAAGGAAGAAGGTGCAAGAGCATTTTGGAAAGGAGCCACAGGTATAAGATTCTATTTTGAAATAATATTAAATTCGGGACAAATTTCGTAGCTATATCGGGTCGTGACATTTATTTTAAGTTCTACTTTGAGAAAGTTAGTAATACATTTTTGATTTGGTCGATCGCATGCGTGGGCGTTGGCCCTACTGCATCTATCGACTATTCTTTCTCCAATATGACTTGGCAACTTACTTCTAAGTGAGTACTTCTTTTTCTCTCTGCCTGCCAATTATCGTGATTTTTTCCATTTCCCAACCACTCTCTTATTTCTTCGTTTAGTCATTTTTTCTTTTAATCCGTTTGTGTAATTGTTTTTTTTACTAGGTTTATTGTTTTGTTATGCAGAGTGGTTGTCAGAAAACATTACATCGCACGGTTTATCTTTAACTTAATTTTTCTTTCATTCTTATCCATTATTTATTAATTTATGATACTAATCACGTTCGTTGTCAATTTTAGTCCAAGGGAGGAGATTTTTCGAGTATTTTCAATGTTCAATCTGAAGATGTGTCTATTCATAGAAGGTCATAACATTCATATTCACTTTTAAGATTCAATTCTTTATTCAGACAAAGAATATAAACCAGTGTGTGAAAATTTAATAATTATCAAATGATTTTATTCATAATATTCCTTCCATTTTACAGCCCGAGTATTCAGATCATCACCTCAATTCGGCGTCACCCTTTTCACTTATGAACTTCTGCAAAGGCTGTTCGTAGTTGATTTTGGTGGAACGTGAGTATATATTTTATTCATATTTACTAATTTTTATTTGCTTTCAATAATCATTTATTCATTTCGATTAAGTATATGCAAATTAAGAAAAATTGAAACTCATTGTTTTGGTAAGTATATTCTTAAGAAATTAAAATTTTGTTTTTATCTATACGTTCAATTTGATTATTACAAATTTTCAATAAATCCAAACACATATTAGCCAAAAATGTATCGTTATTTATACAATAATTTTTTTTCGAAATTATTATTAATTTATTATTAATTTCGTATAATTTGAAACGATTCAATTTTCAGACGACCTACGGGATCGGAGCAAAAGGTGCCTGCGATAGGAGTGGCAGAAGAGATTCGATCGACTAATCCAGACCATATAGGAGGCTATCAGATTGCCTTACCGATCTTTACCGGCATCGAAACAAAATTTGGTCTTTGCCTGCCCAGGTTCCAAGCAGTAGAAAAAATCAGAAAGTAACGTCATCGTTTCAGCTTCAGCTAGATGATGAAGCTTATAGCGACCTACTCATCATTACAGAATTTCGTATCAAATCGCTGAAAATTCAGACTATCTGAGAAAAATGAGTGAAACGAGCTCCACAGAATCATAAACCGAATAAAATGATAATCCGTCGATTGATCGATATGATAAATTCAATCTGGATAAACATCATAAGACATAGAATCCTTAAGAATAATGACAGTGTTGCAGGATGTTAAATATGACACGAAAGAAAGAAAAACTTGGAAAAAGAAAGAACTTGGAAAGATACTCCTTCAAATACGACATATTACATACGAGAGTTAAAAGTAAAGTGTTAGATAGAAATATGGTGAAAATTGCATATTCTATCCGAGATTATTACGTAGATTATTATGTCTAGTTTGTTTAACGAAATTGACGATAAAAAAAAGGATAGCGTCAACACGCACAACCTTCTTCGTGATAATCGGTTCACCGAAATCGAGATAGCAATTGTGAGAAAATCACACACAGGGTTTAGACAAGTTAAATACAGACGGTTTAGCCTAAAAGACATTATTGAAACGAGTGCAGCCTTTTTACGCTTATGTTATGCAAGTGTGGAGCTCGAATGGATTGGCGATGCGAAGAAGTAGATGAAGTTATCTTCTTTGTACATTTTCTTTTCTATAATCTTGTATTTTTCACATTTCACCCATTGCACCCGATTTAAAAAAACAGCGAACAAAATACAAGCTATACATGGTTAGCAACGCTTATCTCTTTTATTATTACTTTGCATTAAGTAGGATTTTCTATGAAAATTGATAAACTGAAGAAAATTGATAATTTATCGAAGAAATATAAACGAAGAAAATGGTGCGAAGGGTGAAATTAGAATTAAAATATTTAATCCCAAATCTGGTTTGAAGAGAGAAAGAGAGAAAACCGGTTCGTGCTTCAAACCTTGCTTTGTGCCGCTGTGGTCACCATATTACTTTTTCTACTTTTTATATATGGATCGAAGATATACTCGTTCGTATATGTATTTGTATCGAAGAGTTCACACTATTTTTGTAGTGTTCTACTCAATTGGAGCGGAAATAGAGGTTTCATAACAGGATTTCTGTTTTCCTAAGAATGTTGGCAGGTTTCAAAATTGTCTTACCGCTTCTCTCAACCCTTTAGAATCGCTTTTTGAGCTTTTTATGAAGCCCCGGGAGGGCTGTACAAGTTATTGATCTCTAATTTACTGATCGACGGCTGTAGAGTTCCGCCATGTTCGCCTATTTTCTACTCTTCTTCTAGTCGCAACTGCCATTCGTTTTCTTATTTCTTTTTCGATATAACAACGGTATATTAATTTCGTTTGATCGATAATTATTATCTCGATGATATTTGACTTTTAATAATATGTAGAATTTTGTTCATTCTATCGCACAGCGAGATCAGAGGCTATGCCGCTATACATTTATTTCTTTTTTTTTATCTAAAATTAGTGAAAAATATTCAAACATTCTGTATCACACGAGATTCTCAAACTATCAGGAATCACGTTATATTTTGTCCTGTCTCAGACAATACTCTGACTAGAGTTAAGAGTCTTGTATGATATTATGAGAATGTTTTAGAACATGTTTTTCTCGTAAACATTTTCGTCCGCTTATTAAAGTAAACTCGGTGTGGCCTCCACGCGTTATCTATGGAAAGATAAACGAGTTCTATTTATAAGTAAGAATTTAGTCGAGAGTTCGAGGAATGTTTTAAAATGATAAAAAGAAGGACTGGATCCTTCATCCCTAGTTAATGTTCACGAGTCTCGAGCTATTTTATATCACACGCATGGATCGAGAAAACATTGTGAATTCTTAAAACGATCGTTCAAAATATTCGAAGAGTCGATATACAATGGTCCAATATTTCTTAAGAAAAGAGAATGAAGAAAATTTTTTTTCTCATGTATCAAGATGTTCAAGTGTATAAAAATTTCTTGATCCTGGTTTGTCGGTGGTATCTTTGATAATTTTGAACGATTGGAATATGACCAATATCGATCAATATTGGTTTCTCGTCGAGAGGTCTAAAAGGCCGTGAAACGCTCCCTCCCGCAGTTCGATAATATATTATTAACAATATACGTCGGCTCGTACTTGCTGTAGAGAAAATTAGACGGCTTGGGACAAGTTTTCGATACTTTCGATCGAACATTTCGAAGTGTGCAGGCACAGATTCGCGAAAGTAATAATTGTACCAAGCTTTAAGATCAGCATTATTACAATATTTTTAAAATACTTTTCAAAAGATAATTTTTTATCATTGTGCTCAGAGAACAAATACTTTAGAATGCTTTAGATTTTATAAATTTACCATTCGCTTCTTTATAAGAATTTCAAATTAGCATTCATTTAAGCAACATTGTAGAAATTTATTAAAGTTTATTGTTGCTACCGATTGTCAGCGAAATGCGATTCACCAGCATTTTTCACTACCAGCTATTGCGTATTTCTTTTTGTGTGCATGTTGTTGATCAAGATCTCAGATTATTGCCTATAAAATTAAAAAAAAAAAAA